TAGTCAAAGGGTAGAGTAGAGTGAAATCTCCAGCCAGTCTGTGTCAACTCCTACTGTGTGGAAAAATAGGGTTGTGGTTTGAAGTGGTAAATGCAGGAAAATAGGAATCCACTCCACATATCCCTTTTCCTCTCAATTGACTGGGGAAAGGAAATCCACAGTACATAACTCTGGAAAATTCAAAATACTATGAAATCATAACAACTAATCCCCAAAGAAAGGTTTTTTGACATCTAAAGGTGAGGACACAGAATCTCTACAAATGAGTAAACCCCAAGCCCAAAATAGGAAATGTCAAATATTGGATTCCTCAGGGATGGAAATGATTTTGTTTTATCATTGTTCAACTCATGGTAATATTTTTTGGTCTCAGTCTCAGTCTTATCCTCCAGGAGCATAATTTTATTGTTCAGGAGTGCTTAGGAAAAGAAAGAATTCTCGAGAAGGAATCAGTCTCAGGACCGTTACCTCCCGCCGCCGCCCACCTGGTAGAGCTCCTTCAGGTTGTACTTGATGGACGTGCTGCCCTGGATGGCACGGACCGCCTCGTGCAGCTTCCGCCACGTGTCCTGAGTGTAGTTGTCCGGCAGCCGCGGCCTGTCTGTGGGGAGATGGGGTCAGCGGCGGGGCGGCCCGGCCCGGCACCGGGCGCGGGGGCGCGTGGCCGGCGACCGGCGGGGACAGCGGGGGACACGAGGCCCGGCGCGGGGAGGGAGGGCGCGGACCCCGAGGCGCCGACACTAGGCGGCCCGGGCAGCCCCGTCCCAGCGCGCGCCCCGCCGGCCCCTGCCTGCCTGCCTGCCCGCCCGCCCGCCCGCGGCGGCGCGCACCCACCTCGGAAGTTCTTGATGACCAGCTTCCTGGAGCCGCCCGCGCCCCCCGGCTTGGCGGGGCCCCCCGCCAGCGCCGCGGGCTTGGTAAGGCCGTTGGTGCGGCCCACGAGTGCCGAGACGCTGCCCTTCCGCGGGCCCTCGTCCGCCATGGCTGGGCCGGACGCCGCCCCGCCCCGCGCCACCCGGCTCCTCCTCCTCCGCCTCCCGCCCGGCGCCCGTCCGAGTGCGCCCGGCTCCTCCTCCGCCTCCCGCCCGGCGCCCGTCCGTGCGCGCCAAGCTCCTCCTCCGCTCGGGCGCCCCGTCCGTGCGCGCCGCCCCCCGCGCGCCCGACGCCCAACGGCCGCCGCGCGCACGGCGCCGCCCCCGTTGCGTGCGCGCCGGTCTCCTCGGGGCGCACGCGCGGGAGCGCGCACGGCGACCCTGCCCCCAGGCCCGAGGCGCTCCGGGCGCGCGGCG